TTTGGGGCTCACTGAGGTCGACAACGTCCAGGGTCGGCTTTGTGACGGTTTTATTAAATGGTGCCTTCCCTCCGGTGATTGCGCCTTGATTTGACTTTTGTTTGGCTACAGATTAAGATTTTAAATTACCGCTGTGACCTTTATGGCGAACCGTATATTAACTCCCTTCATAAACATAAAATGTTGAGTCTCAGTGATCGCCGTAAATATTTCGATATCATTTTCTTGTATAAAATTCTAAATAATAAAATTGACTGCTCTCCTTTATTAGCCAAAATAAACATTAAAAGTAACTTTCGTCTGCCCGCTCGCCCTCAACGTGTATTTCAAACATTCGTACCACCTACACTTCGAAAAAAATATACACAAAACTGCTTTATCTCCCGTTCGTTAAAATTATACAATAAAGAATTTGTAAATCTCGATCTCTTTAGTTGCTCCTTAAAAAGTCTTAAACGAAGTATTTTTAAGAGTTATTTAGATGAATACTTGACAGCGTAACATTCGGTAATCTCTACGATGTATTAATTATTGTCCCTTAAAAATGTATGTTTTTCAACTTTAATTAAGTTACCTATTTTAAGCTTTACTGTACTGTTGTTACATAAAGATAAATTTACTACTCAGCTTCAACTAACATGGGTAAATCTTTCAACAAGCTAAACTGAAATGTTATTCTAATGTATTTCTTCGGCACTCGTTGTCTATTAATTATGTAATGTTATAATATTGTACTTTCTTTTTAATGACTGTTTGTGTCACAATAAATGGAAAAAAAAAGAGTTTTCGAGCCAAGATCGAACGTACTCACTTTTGGAGTGACCATCTTCATCATAGTCGTCTGATTCCTCTTCTTCTTCAGCCATCTGTAAAGAGATCTGCGCAAGTTCTAGTTTGATCTTTAATACTTCTTCACGAGCCTTTAAAATTCTTCTATTGGGCCGAACAGTCTTCTTTGACATCGTACTGCAATCGGTATGGCCCCTCGGTGGCTCTACGGTGTGGGTGTCTTCCCGGGCTGGTGGCGATGATGCACGGCTAAAGTCATCGTTGCTTTCTAGATGTTCCCTCTGCTTCGTTGTGCGGGCCGTAGTGGACGGCGCGGGCAGGGGTATCCCCCCTCTCGGGGGGCAGCATGGCGCCTCAGCGCCCTCTATCGTTGACGGTGAGCGTGGTGGCATCTGGTGGTGGACGGCGGCGTTACTGGCCGACGAACCTCCTTCCAGACCGACGGTCCACGCCTTGGCTGCCCTTCCTTGCGAACGGGTGATCGGCATCTTGAATCTGAAAATTCTGCGGTTTTAATAAGGTGGTGACTATTTACCCGGTTCCGAAATACAAACGGATAGATCCGGCTCGAAGGACCAACGAATGTGCCGGACGGGCGAAACTCTCCGGAGTAAATGTTGTCGAAGATACTTCGCGAGTCGCTCACGTCCTACACCTATAGGTCCCGGTGGGTACTTTCACTGCCGTCTTTGTGGTTGCCGCTGAAATATTGTGAACTGAGGTTAAAATCAAAATGCACGATTAATAAATACAAATAGCAAGGTAGTGGCCAGCGGTTCGACTGATTAATTAGTCGCGAAATTTTATAACTATCGACCACGGTTGAACTACGGTTGTTCACTATTGGTTGGTCACTGTATATTTCAAAAGATTTCTTTGAATTGTACGGTGGTATCAAATATCTATTGGTAGTAGCTGGTTTTCTAACACTACTGACTAGCAGCTATTATCAACTAAACTAGCTGATTTTATCACTTGTGTAACTGCAGATATCAGTTACCACTTTCACTATATGTAACTGCGAATATCAGTTACGACCTTTTTTAGGCTAGCTAACACTTTCACTATATGTAACTGCGAATATCAGTTACGACCTTTTTCGGCTAGCTAACACTTTCACTATGTGTAACTGCGAATATCAGTTACGACCTTTTTCGGCTAGCTAACACTTTCACTATTCACTATATACTGCTACTAGTCACTTCAGCTACCACCGGATACCACTCACTTCACTTCACTTGTCACTGGTAGTTCTTCACACTACTACTGGTACTGGGTCCCGAGCCCCTAAGGTAGACTTTAGCAATACTTTACAGTGAACCGCTTGCCATTTTCCGTTTTGCCTCTTTATTGCATAAACTTATCACTATACAAATGGCATAAATTGCAATATTTTCTATACAATACTAATTACTACACTAACATGCTATACATCATTAAATCGGTAGTCTGGTACTTTATTAGTATATCATAAAGGTTACTAAAAACATTAACATTGTAAAAAGTTATTAAACGAAATGTCCCAAATTTTCATAATATTTGGGTACATTAATTCTTTAATTTTTATATAATTATCAAATGCGTTTAATTATACAAAATATTCCTACACTTCTTTAATCTATAAGCCATATGTTAATTCAATGTCATATTTACAACTCTTTTAGAACATAAAATTATTTTCATTATTTTTGGTATGAACTATTACGTAGTTAATTAAAAAACTTCTAGAGAGTTCTACGATAAGACGCGCTGTGATTGGTCGATTTTTCTTAATATAATAAAAGTTGTTTACATTACTTGTTATCAAAACGACATTCTATACAAATATATTAAGAGTTATAAACATGCTAAACAACTATATTAATACACGTTTTCACCGTTTTGTCAGTAATTTCATTATTAATACAAAAAACAATATTCTTTATAACTTTGTTTCTTAACGTTGTTAGGCCGTCGCGAACATACTGAATCACACATTTATTACAAAATTACAAATTAGCTGCAGAAAAATATTTTCTTCGATTTAAACTGCCGAAAAGCCGTGACGCACGAACCTCGTGTGGTGTTAGTTACCCAAACAACAGCCTAAATATTTTATGAGAATCTAACCGAAATCATGAATTCTGAAAAAAAAAAGTTGCTTTGATACGTGTTCTGGCTAATGTAATATGAAAAAAATGCGTGTAACGAAGAACTACTAAAATTATTTTCCGTCAATCATAAAGTACCTCTAAATATGAATGTATAAACAACTTTGTTTTATACTATCAATTATGGATCAGTAACTATTTTAACTTATAATACCGGTTATAACTATTCGGATTAATGAAGCGTTCGGATTATAGTATGTAGGTATTTTTATAAACTAGCCCCTGAAATACAGGTATAAAATATCCATGTTTGGGGCTGTTGACAACTGCAAATTTTTGTACATGTAATATGTTTATCCATAGATTATTATTATTATTTTGGGGTATCTATATAGTTTTCTCATCTGGTTGGGTTCCATAAATATATAATTGTGAATGAAAATGATAAATATACATAAATAAAAATAAAATAAATACATAAAAAATACATAAATAAATAAAGGCCCAACCAGATGGAAGCCCTCGGCAGGGGAGACCAAACGGCCGAGGGTTAGGGGGAAAAGGAAAGAAACCGGCGGACAATGCAGGCGGTATCGAGGAGCATCGCCTTCTGCATTTGAGCCTGGAGAAGTCCGTCACGGAGTCCCAGTCGCCTCAGATGACCCGAGAGGCTGACTGGGATTAGCCCGTTTGCAGAAACGACTACATGTATAATGTTGGTCGACAGCCCATCTCACATGTCGGTCACCTCGTGAGTCAGTTCCAGATATTTTGTTCGCTTACGTGTTTCGGCTTTTACGAGGTTCTCGTAATACGGAATGGTAATGTCGACCAAAAATATCCTTGACTGTGCCCGGTCCATCAGCACAATAGCAGGTTTATTCGCAAGAATAGTCCTGTCTGTGATGATGGCCCGGTCCCAGTAGACCCTGACGCGGTCATTTTCGAGCACGGCTTCCGGCAAGTACTTGTAATACGGCAATTTCCGGTCCACGAGACCGTATTTCAGAGCGAGCTCCCGGTGTAGAATTCTGCCTACTAGGTTGTGCCTGTGCAAGTACTCAGAGTTAGAAAGCGCTGAACAACCGGAGATGACAGGCCTAAGTGGCTCACCGGGATGGCGACAAGCTCAACAGATGTCGACGGTGCCATCGTTTAGGATGTATTTCCGATAGTTGTTGGTCTTAATAACCTGATCCTGTATCGCACAGACAAAACCCTCGGTTTCCCCGAAGAGATCACCGAAACGTAGCCAGTTGAGGGAGGCGACTGTGTCTACGAAAGGTTCATGTATAGCCTTGTTGAACCTCCCGTGGAGCTCCTTCTCCTTCCATACAGTCACCCGGTCGGAAATGCTCTGTACTGCCGGGTCTTGCCATTGTTCGTTGGCCAAGGATAGAGGGGTAAGCTCTTTATCACAACAAATGACGTCCCTATAGAATGGATCATCCGATCTCGTCAGAAGGTAATTACAGAGGCTGCACACTTCGCGATTATGCATGGTAAGCGCGCTTAATAAGCCACGTCCACCATATTTCCACGGCAAGTACAGCATTATAATCGAAGATCTCGGGTGATGCATCTTATGAGACGTCATAGTAGTGCGAACTTTTCTATCCAGGGCGTTAAGTTCAGTCTGAGTCCACCCATAGATATACAGAAATAGCAATGCAACTTTTCCAGTTCGTGGCCTTATGGACCGCCTCAGCTACGTCATCCGGCGTTATGATGATTTATAGAGCCTCTTCTGATCACTCTGGAAGAGACAATTCTGGTTGAACCGTGTCGACCTCTCGGTATATCGCCGAATCCGCTTTCCCTAAGCAGCGATTCTCTGCTTCAGGTCGTCTATGAGCTCCGTCAGTTTTTGCATTATATCCGGCTGGGACAAACTAACATTTGTCCCAGCAAATGCCATCCTGACGGTGCGCACAATCCTTGGCCTGTTATTGCCTGACCTGAAGCATATCAGTCTACCGATGAGGGCCCTAGCCTTTGCGATACGTTCATCAATTCTTATTCTCCAGGCTGGGATAGCGCTACTTTGTCCAGTAGCGCGTCCAGCCGTGGAAAGTTCGGCGCCAATAATACGGCATACTGCCAGTGCGGCGCCAAAAAGGATTAAGTCCGTCTCGCAAAGGTCCCGGCTGGCTTCCAAATATTCCGCTTGCTAAAGACTATGCGGGGAAGTCGCGGTCGATTTTCGAGAGGTGTACTGCGCATTTCCAGAATCGCCTCTTCCAATGTACTCCTCATATGCTCTAATTCCAGTTCCTGGGCGACTGTTCCATCATCGATTGAATCAACCACAACTGGGGTATTCACGGCGGCATCCACGTTTGCGGGTTGCTCTGCAATTTGTGGCGCCGCATCCTCAGCCGTAGCATTTTCATCCGATGAGGGAACAGCCTCACGTCGTAGCCGTTCGAGTTCGGTGACATCAAATATATTTAAGCGCGTGATATATCGAACTCGGTCTGCCAGGTTTTGCTCTGTGACGGTTATAGATGGCTCCAGCTCAGCAAAAAGACGATGCAACCTAGCCCGATACGCAAAACCTCCAACTACTCCCCCTTTTTGCCCTAAAATACGCCCGCAATGCGTTGGTATTCATTTTGATTGTCCATCGCATGCGGCGTACTCCACAAGTGGCGGGTGCCGATTGCTGGGCCCGCGAAGACCCTGCCGACACCAATCCAGCTGGTGGGGACGATGAAAGCGAGGGGCTGATGAGTGGTCGTGCAGCACCTCGCGCTCGGCTGGCGGTTCGCATGCTGTCGCGTCCAGCGCCAGCTCCAGACGCGCCCTGGTGACCTCCAGGCAGCGGCCCTTCGCGCGTCTTCCGTATTATGATTTTAGAAGATGTTGTATGAAATTAAATAGATTTTATAATTGAAAGTGAATACAAATTTTAATAAATATGTATTAATTGTAAAAAATCTAGTATGTTACATTGACGAGTTATGTTTAATGACAAAGAAAATGCTTTCAATTTGCGATATAACATTTTTTTTAAATTGAAATATCTGTTAGAGGGTCGTTCGGATTATAGAGGCGTTCGAATTATCGAGGATCTACTGTACTACACAATCGCTTTTAGTTTGTTTTATATTCATATTTAATTGTAAATTTCTCAGTATTCCCGTTAGATACAGTTAAACTAATATTACTTTTGTAATCTATAGATTATAAGGAATAAATCGACATGTATTTCATTAAGTTACGCCATAATTTGTGGTGGGCCCATTCTCCACACAAAAAGAAATTGTCTCCTTTCCCACTTATTGGGCACTCTATGGACAGGCCTATGTTCAGCAGTGGATATATGTAGGCTGCAACAAGTGATGAAAGTAGCAGACAGAGGCGAATGTTTTGGTCCATCGACACCTAAATTGATTTTGATTAAGAATCGAATATGGAATGCGCTGTCATTCCTGAGGAAAGATGTAATATGGGATGCCTCATTGCGAGTAAATAGGGATCTCTCAGGTCTAAACAAGTCTACGTAGTTATAACACAGCTATTAAATGATATTTTCGGAGATTACTATGTGTGGTGGGGGTGTGGTGTAAATTAAATGCTCCCTGAATTATCAAAAATGTATAATTTATTATTTTGTGTACATTATATAAAAACATTTTTATTTAAATTGTATTGTTACTGTACATATCTCTTAAGGCTTGATAGGAAAATAAAAAATGGCAAAGATTAAAGGACTGAAACTGCTTTTTCACATTTTCAATTTGCAGTCGCCTGCGCAGCATTGTACACCTGTTTAGATTTTTTATTTAGTGATTTTCTGTCTAAACCACCTCTACACATCATTCTTTAAATGAAAATTAAAAATATCTGCAAAACAGGAAATAAGAATGTTGAAAAAACCCACAATGCGACCATGGCTACTGTTTTTGAACCTCACTAGTTCATATTAATATCACAAATTCATTACCTCATTTATGAAAATATAATTTTCTATATGTATTTTATATTATAATAACTATGGATCTGCTACATACAGGTGATTTAAAATAAGAGTGCCACCTATAAAATATCCAGGTGACTCCATAAGCACACCATAAAAGTTACATCAAAATTGATCAAGCCATTCAGGACGAGGATTACAAATACATGTACACTGAAATTTTATAGTCTTACTCTGCATTATATAGTACTAAAATAACTGAATGCTAAAATAATGTAACCTATAACGAGAGAAGAACCAGCCCTCTTGATGGCTTCTTTGATCTCTATCTATACAAATAAATAAAATTGAAATATCTGTTTGTAGTTAAAATTACAGCTTATGAAAGTATAAACGGGTACTTATAACAAAAAGACAATTTTTAACATTTTCGTCTGTGTCTGCCTGCCTGTTTGTCTGTTTGTTCCAGCTAATCTCTAAAATGGCTACACTGATTTTGACAGGATTTTGATTTTCACTGGCAGGTAGCTGATGTTATAAAGACTAATTTAGGCGTAGACAGAGAAACCTATAGACAAACTGACGCCTTCTTTCGCACTCGCACACGAAAAAGATAGATTTATGCATACATCTTGCATAGAAATGAGACAGAGTGGTGTAATTGTTTGTCCCTTTCTCAGTGCCAGTTTTTTTGTTTAGCAGACTGCACTTTGCTAAACAACTTTGACAGTTCATAGCGATCTGAGGAGTTTACAAGTTGGCTTAAGTGAGAAAAAAGTGTTATGTGAGCTTAAGATTGGTGAATCTTGTTCAGTTCAGTTCTTAGAATAATTAAAAATGTTATCTAAATATGTTTAAAAGTCATAAAGCTAATCATTAGTCTATAGGTTTCTTTGTCTATGAATTTAGGCTACTTTTTTTAGAAAAGTGATTAGGGTTCCGTGCAAAAAATTAAAACCCATGAAATCCAATTGTAATACATTCCACGAAAACGAAATTGTAATAGATTGAATTGAAGTAGGGTACGACTTTCCATTGACGTCCATCGAATTGAGGGGGGGAGGGGGAGGGGGATGGAGGGGGAGGAGGTTTAATACCCCCCCCTTAAAAGGAAAAGTTGCGGAGCCCCCCCCTTTTCGAGTTTTTTCATTTTTAATTCTGAGAAAATTTTCCTCATTTTATGGATTAATATTAAGTGTAAAAAACCAGGACTCCTCCTTGGGGGAGGGGGGTTCCCCCCTACGGAAGGGGGAACCTCTTTCATCAGAAAAAAAAATAGGGGGGACTGATTGAGAAGGATTTCTGTGTCTATTTTGAGACTGCAATGTCTACGGCGCTGCGGGAAGAGCAGCCTCTTCGCCTTTGCGTAACAAATCGCAGGCATCCATCCTCGCCTTCGCAGCTTCGGCTTGTTGGTCGCCTTCGGCCTTCCTACGATTTGTTACAGCAGGCGGAGGCTGCTCTCCCTACGCGCCTCCGGCTCTATAATAACACTCTAGGGGTAGGACAGACTTGTACCAAGTGGAGTCGGGGTCAACCAATTCGGTTCTTCGACATAAGTTAAACCTAACCTATTTTATTTACTTACTTTTAAAATAAATCAAATAAAATTCATAATTTATTAATCAATTTTATATACATATTGTATTGCTTTAATTAATTCTATGAAAACATCTTTATGTGCTATTTTTATTTTTCTTCGCCAAGAATATTCAATTAGCCAGTCTGTAAAGTTTGTTTTATAACCTTCTCTACCGAACATCACTTTTAAATTTCGCCAGTGGCTTTCTATTCGTTGTGTGTGTGTCCCATCTGGTGCCACAAATTTATTTATAGGTTCGCTGTGATTAACTTTTTTATGTATATATCCATATTGAGGTAGGCAATCGTAGGCTCTCCAAAAATCGGTATGGATTTCAGTGCCTACCTCCACATGCTTTTGTATTAGTGGCACCAACATTTTCGCAGATCTATCATTATCGGGACACACTTCTAATCTCAAATCATCTTTCCCATTTTCTATCATTCCCAGCACCCAATGGCCTTCAATGTGTCTCCCTCTGTTGTACTTGCGTTTTCCAAATTTTGATTCGTCTATTTGCACGATTTTGCCTGGACCACCAATCTTGCCATTAACTTCTTGGTGCTCCAATTCATAAACTACTACTGTCTCTCGGCAGTAAGAAAACCAGTCAGTTATTGTCCTTGTTGATAAAATTGTTTCTTTATCTTCACGGGCTGTCTCTAATTTAACTTGATGATAACTATATTTTTGGCTGAACATATACATCAGTAAAAATTGTAACTCAATGGACAGCCGCGCATTCTCGAACCATGTTCCCGCTGCCCGACTCACTGCCTTAGAGCGACAATTACTCTTCCTGCATCGAAATATGCCAAGCTGACCAGTCTTACTGCTGGAGCTTAACGCCATAGGTCTCCTATGATATGAGCACATTTTTTCTGTAGGAAGGAGCCTATGCTCTTCAGCAAATGCAATGCACTGAGCTGGGGTGTTGAGCCGGGTTATGATTTTATACATGTTCCAATGGCACCTAAAACAAACAAAAATATTCCTATTAGAAATCTAATTACTGTTTTACTCGTCAGCTTTTTCTGTGAAGTTTACATATGTGCTATATAAGAAACCACGGGTAAGGTTTACAATTCGGTCTCCTGAATTAGGGGGTGGGGGGTGGTGTGGGGGGGAGGGAGAAGAGTTGTAGAGTCACCCCCTACATCCCCTTCCTGCCGGACGTGCTTAGTTTTTTTTTTATAAATTTTTAAAAATCTCATTTTGAGGTTATGTTTCGTTAATTTTTATGACAATTTAACCTGATTTATGGGGAGAGAGAGTTGGGGGACGGAAGCCCCACGCCACTTAACGAGGTGCAGTAGAGGGAAGCCCAGTCGACGGAGCCCCGCTTTGCGGGGCTCCTGCTTCTGAGTGGTTTACAAAAAAATAACCACGAAGGAGATGACGGGGTCTATTCGCTCGCTTCGCTCGCCACTCGACCCCGTCATCTCCTTCTAACCTAACCTGTCCGAGTCGGGGTGCCCCACGTCCTAGGCTCGCTTCGCTCGCTATTGCACCCAATATAACACCAAAATATTAACTTTTATAACTACTTTAATTTATAAACATAATTTATGGCTGCCACTATTTGTAAGAAAGGATCTTTGCGATATTTAGCAGTGAACCAACCTTATTTCCTCGGCATAGTAGTGGACTCTTCGGCCAGACGAACCAGGAGCTTGAGGTTCCGCATCAGCCACGCTGCTCTCAGACGACGTTGGAGACGCAGGCGGCAGTACCGACACGGTACTGGGAACAGTGGCGCGGGAACTACCAGCTATTGATTTCGATAGCACAGTCATGGGCACAAGTGGCTCACTAGAGTCCAACACTTGCACACAGGGGGTGCCTGCAGAAGAGCTCGCGACAAGTGGCTCATCAGAGTCCAACACTTTCACTACACTCAATTCTACAGACGGCACAGCAGAACACGAAACTTGGGGCTTCGGAGACGCCATGATGGTAGTCAAACGTTGTTTTCACGACAGGAGTACGTAAACGATCTCAACTGCTAGGAACACAAACGATGACAGTGACTGAGGAAGACACTGACAACACCAAATAGCGTCAGTTTTACGTTTCGTTCCACAAGCCGGGAAAAGACCGTAAACACTGCACATTTTAATTTTAATAGCTCGTAATGAAAATAATTGTTATTTAGTTAAATATAAACTGCTAAATATATATGCATGCATGAAAACTATTAAAATGGATACAAAATATAATTATTTACGTAAATTTTTATAAAATGAAATGTCACCCAACATTTGACAAGTTAACCGTACTTAAAACGGAACATTCAATGTCGTGATATATCTGTAATACGATATAATCTATGGTAGGATTTGACATAAATATTGCAAAAATTATTGATTTTCGATAATTTTTTTCTCAAAAACTACGCGTTTCCGCATGTTAAAACTTTGCGTGTGTGCTTATATTAATGTCATCCTTCTGTAAAAAAAATATCAACCCCCCAACTCGACGGACGTCAATGGAAAGCTTAGCCTTGAAGTAGTTCATATTAAAATTATATAACAATCTTAAAGTTAATGGTAGCTCCTTAAAAATAAATTAATACACTTCGTATAAACTTTGTTGCTTACTTAATAACTGAACACATCTATAACTTGTAAACCCAATTTGAATATTGTTTATCTTAATAATGTTTAGTATCACCAATACACTGAAAACAAAATTGTCACAGCCCATATCAGAAACATCGAGAATGATCTGATAAAATACCAATTGAGAAATAAATGTATCTATACAGGGTTATTTTTTATAGAATACTATAATACATAGGTACATAATAGAATGGGGGGTGAGCGGAGCCCGTGTAGCCACTAAAATACCACTAACAAGTCAATTCACACATATAAATTTATAAAATTATATTATTTCTTTATAAAAATTAGATGGAGGTTAATTGCATAAAACAATAATGACCAAATACTCAAACTACTCCATTTTAAGTTTATTAAGTATAGTGGTGTCATGGTATCACTTTGACTTAAAGTGATAGAGACAGCTAGACTTAACGGCATCTTAAAATTGAGTAGTGCACAAAATCCACCTGATGTTTAGTGGATGCTATGGCCTAACATCTACATCTATCCTGGATTAAGATTCAAATTGCAGATGTGTTGTCATCCCTGAGGACGAAGATGAAATGCCTCATTTTCAGAAAATAGCTTCTCCGGTTCTTTACACTTATGATATGAAACAGAGCAGCGTTAAGCTGCTATTTGCTTTGCATTATATTATTTCCCACTAACTATAGAACCTGAAGAATATAAACTAAAATATTATAGAAATGTAAACTATTGCTTCTTCTCTAATAAGTCCATATAAGCACATTCTAACAAGTCTTCATTCATCACGCCAAGTTTGGTTTGTAAGTCTCTTGCAATTGCCTGACCTTCCTCCAATGTCTGTTCAGGTTTTAGCACCACTTCTAACTCCATGAAATTGCCCAGGCCTTGTACAGTATCAATATGAATTCTTGTTTGTTCAACTAAATAAAGTTTTCTGAAACAAAGTACATTGATTCCTACATGAGAATGAACTGTGATTAGAATAATAAATCTAAAACCTCAGTTATTTTTTGTAGAGATGCTATGGTTCTTTATAATTGACTGCCTTAGGGTTATGATTTTAGAGTGTTTGTATGCATGTCTATGCCTTTGGTACAAACTGAAGCCTAAAAGGAGGGAGTTTTAACATCACGGGTATTGTTATATTAATTTGTTATAGTAGGGGAAGTGACAAAGGGTATAAAATTTTTGTCTATTTAACCGACGTCAAAAAGGCAGAGATATTCAATTTGACAGTATGTTTTTTATGTGTGTTACCTCATAATTTTTCGTTAGGTGAACCGATTTTGATGATTCTTTTGTTATTTGAAAGCTGGTTTTTCTAGTGTGATCTCATATAAATTTAATCAAGATCTGAACAGTAGTTTTTGAGTTATCCTTAATAATGCGTATTTAATTGACTTCGAATACATAGATGCTGTTCTCATTTTATTTACATTGAAGTCAGTTGTACAAAATTTTATAATTTTACCACTTGTTAGTAAACTTTTTTTTATTGTTTAACCATAAGGCTAGTTAGCAATTGAGTAGATATCGCAAATATTACTGCAAGTACTAACCGTTCCTTGATAACACGACCTCGAATACCTAAACACTTTTGTAACATTTCATCGAGAAGTTTAGCTTTACCACTCTCAGAAGCAGAAAATTCCAATAGTTCGTAATCACTCAGTTTTGGTCCACCTTCATCAACACGACTGTACCTAACTAAAACCGCAGAAGAATCCGGAAAATTTCTCATTTTCAAGCGTCCATTGTTTACTTTATAGAAAATATCATCCTGGTAAATAACAGTACATGGTGCACCGCTCAGTTCTTCGGCTATTTTGCATATTTTTTTAATGTCGTGGACTTTTGCTTTAATTTCAACGTTACGCATAATGGAATAGTACCTATTGGGGTAATTTAAATTTATACGTTATGATGTAAGAAATTTTACACTTTGCCCTGGCTATTACTATTTTAATCAATTGTTTATTCTTTGACAAACAACTATATACAATAAATTATTAAAATAATTAAAAGTATAATATGTAATTGTATATTACTTATATTTTTAAAGTAAAATTGCGCCAAAATACAAATACAAAAAACCGATAACAATACCAATCATAGATAAATAAATATGTAGCAAGCTACCAATAGTAAACCAAATCGAATCCAGCTGTCAGACTCAGAAGTCAGAACCATAGATTACTCAGAACCAAGCACGTCAACATTCAACAAAAAAATTGGGAACGTACAATATTCGATTCTTAAAAAAATCGATGTCGATTATTTAGAGTTGGTAATCATTTACAGTTTGGTTTGAATAAAACTAGAATAAATTAAAAACGGATAATTTAAAACAAAAGATTTATCAGTTTCTTCGCATTTGTGGTTACTGCTTATTTCTAGAGGCATAGTCACAAAAATTTAAGATCGAAACTAGATTATAAATAAATTTATTCAATCACTTTCAGTACAACTAGTTGAGCTGTCGATGTTTAGATATTTGATTTTCAATAATGCAGTCACTTTAAAAAACTGAAAACTGGCAGCGATCACCGAATGGTTAGAGGCACACTGAACTTAAACATTAAGCTGGAGAGGAGTCGTCTTATGAAGTCAACGCTCCGTCCCCCTCGTGCTCTAATCCAGAATCCCGAAACCTTTCAGCTCAAGTTACAAAACCGCTTTCAGTCCCTAGAAGATTTCAATGCAGTGGACAATATGAATGACAAGCTCGTGGAAACTGTCCATGCGGTCGGAGCTAAGTTCTGCAAGACCCGTCGCAGAAGAACACAAAAACTCTTCAATCACACTCTGGACGACGGGAGATGAGGCTGCAATCGTCAACAGATTTGACGACATACAGACAACTGAACAGACAGATCTCCAAATGCGTGTGGCGAGACTTACGCAACTTTAATACTTCTCGTATTGAAGAAGCGATCAAGCGAAACCAGGGCTCGAAAGTCTTAGCCAGAGATCTGTCTGCCAGTAAGTGCCAACTGTTAAAGTTGTACACTGAGTGTGGCAGCATCGCTTCCGGGACACCTGAGATTCTGAGTGAAATTGAGAGGTTCTATAGGCAGCTATACACATCATCGTCGGAGCCACACGCAAGTGTGAGTAGCGATCCAAGAGCAAGTCTTATCCGACACTATTCCGATGATATCCCGGACGTCAGTCTGAGCGAGATTAGAAAGGCCTTCCAGCACCTTAAAAACTGCAAGTCCCCAGGAACAGGATGGAATTACATCGGAGCTTCTGAAAGTGGGTAGAAAACCGGTACTTAAAGTCCTTCAGAGGCTCTTTAATTCCGTCCTCCATGGTGGCACTACTTCGGAGGCGTGGAGCAGAAGTGCGGTGGTCTTGTTCTTCAAGAAAGGTGACAACGCCCTCTGAAGAACCACAGACCGATATCCCGTTTGAATCGCGTCCACGTGTCGTTTTCGAGAGTCGTAACGAATCGTCTCGCACGCAGACTCGACGACTTCCAGCCTCCCGAACAAGCTGGTTTATGAAAAGGCTTTAGTACCATAGACCACACACATACCCTTCGGCAAATTGTACAGAAGTCCGAAGAGTACAATCTGCCACTTTGCCTGGCGTATGTGGACTATGAGAAAGCCTTTGATTCCGTCGAAATTTGGGCGGTGCTAGAGTCTCTTCAGCGGTGCCAAGTTGACTGTCGTTATATCGAAGTGCTGAAGTGTTTGTACAGTAGGGCTACGACGGCTATCCGAGTACAGAACCAGGATACGAAACCTATCCAACTGCAGAGAGGTGTAAGACAAGTTGACTTTATTTCCCCGAAACTCTTCACCACTGTATTGGAAGATGTTTTCAAGCTACTGGACTGGAAAGGATACGGTATTAACATCAATGGCGAGTACATCACTCACCTTCGATTTGTCGACGATATAGTCCTTATGGCAGAATCGCTGGTAAACTTAAGCACTATGCTCAATAACCTCAATAGTGCCTCCCAACGGATGGGTCTTAAGATGAACATGGACAAAGCAAAGATCATGTTTAATGTCCATGTCACACCTATGCTGGTCGTTGTTGGGAGCACTAACCTCGAATTTGTTGACGAGTACGTTTACCTGGGACAAATAGTCCGACTAGGTAAGTCCAACTTCGACCGATAGGTCAATCCACGGATTCAACTCGCCTGGACAGCGTTTGAGAAATTACGACACATCTTCTCGTAAGGTATACCTCAATTTCTGAAAACTAAAGTGTACAACCAGTGCGTGTTGCCAGTGACAACTTACGGATCTGAGACGTGGTCCTTCACTGCTAGCCGTATGAGGACGCTCAAGGTCGCTTAGCGAGCTATGGAGAGGGCTCTGCTCGGAGTTTCTCTGCGT